CTCTGGCAATCGCAGTCCTACATATAACGCGCTGGAGTCTTATTACACTAATTAGGAGAGTCAGAGTCTTCCTGAAGCATTCCGGATGGACCGTTTTATGACCTGGGACAAGAAGAATGCCCAACAAATCAAGGAAGTAATCTCGCAGATGGATTTATCAGGTTTCTCATGATTTTTTCATGAGTTTTCAATGCACGTGCCTTTTTAGGAATTTTGGCTGTATCACTTGTTGTTTTAGCCTGGGGAAGATATGCATCATAATAGCTCACAGTGCTAATTCATTGAAGGGTTAACCGAAGTTAATACAACTAGAAGCTGTTCTACTCAGTGTTTATGAAACAAGTTGGGACTTCTTTTCTTTGTGCACATTGTGTACTCTGCAATTGACATTAGGGTAGTACTTATATTACGATGTTTGACATGTTAATGATGCTGATGGTGCTCGATGACAGATCCCTTGGATTGAAGGGTATATGTATGACATACGTATATACACTGTACCTTTACCATAACGTACCTCGGAGCAGTTGGCATCTACACTCGTAGGAATGAGCTAGATCAGTATTTCAGCCTGACCCTGCACATACTTTGCACACTACACATTATGATTTCACTATTTTCACTCAAGAGCAAATACAGGAAATAAATGCATATCAAGTCTATGGAAGCATTGTTATAACCGAAAAGATTTCAATATGGTTTGCAAGTTTTCTGAATACGGGGAGAAAATCCCTCTGAATATATTTTCCTATGCTCTGAGAGGTCAAATATGAGAGACACTGGCTGGCCTGGCCAGGATTTTTTTTTTCCACACCACATATTCGCTATGGCCCATGCGTCGCTGCTCAACGTTACTTTTGTGCATATTGCACTTGAAAAGTGTTGCTTACATGCGTATGTATGCATGTGCAGGCCTGACAATGGGTTCTGCTCCAACAAATCATCGATTGTCACAGTCGTTCCTAATAATAATGTGGCATGTATGGAGGATACTATCATATTTGCTCCAACACCCACCCTTCCAGAGAACATCAAGGTATGTATACGTTGTTTGTCCATCCTCACTCCTGAAGTGTGCAGTACAATGTGTCATGGAGGAAGATCTTATAGTGGACCATATCCTTGAAACTTTCCCCGACTATGACCAGTAAGCAAATGATTACCTCACAAGAGCAAAGTCATAAACCTTGTACCTATAATTGCTCCAAAGGTTACTATGATTTCCAGATGTCAAAATCAATATCGTAAATCTTTACATTTTTACCCTTACCTAATACTGGAACCTTTTGGCCCTCCAGTCATAAAATAATCTCATAATTTATCGGCCACTCTCTGTGTCACTGCTTAGTGTAGACACGGACTTACCGTCTCGAAATAAAATAGCAGTGAGCAAGACCCAACTGCACAACTGCACCAAGTCCTCAAAAGTCTTTTCCTCCATGAATGTAGTGATAGTATTTATTGCAAAATGGTGCATGCAGGGAGGAAAAGACCCCCATAATTGGAGTAACACTTGTCATACGTTGCTCAACCATGACCTTATGTATCGTCACGAACTCTTGCTTTTCACCACTCTGATTTTTTACTGCTTTTGACCCTCAGATGTTGCAGAAAATTTTACTTCTGGTCTCTCTGTGGAGCTAAGGAATACCCTACCTTAGATTCTTCATTGGGACATTGTTACTATTTATTCATTTAGTCATTTATTTACTTATAATTTGCATATTAGCTGCCCTGTCACTTGAAATAGCCTTGGTTTTGATGGGTTTCTGTGGTTCCTTTCCTCTGGTCGTTGGTTCCCTTAGTTGTCCCAATACTGGATACAACTCAGGACTTTCTGTTTTCATAAACCCTGTGTGATGTCCAAAAACCGCATTTGGTAAATCAAGTCATTTATGGTCAATTTTAACTTCAGAGTGACTCTTAAAAGCCATGGAGGTAGTGTTTGCGAAAGTTTTTTGGAATTATGTACGTGTGCTGATGATGTTGTATCCAAGTCAATTTTCCCAATACAAATCAATTAAAAAAGTCTCCAGTGCGAGTCAAACAAAGCGCCAGTCGTTGAGGGAGGAACACAGTAAATAACACCCATTGGACTGTTACATGTACATGTACAAGTACATAGCCTTGTATGGCACACAAGAGACTTTGTAGATGATAGCCAAGCGTGCTCATGCATCAAGCATGACCTTTGCTACAGTGGTCCAATCATACCAGTTGGCTTCATGAAATACGTCCAGTCAGATTTCTGTTTTATGGGCCCATAACGAATATGTGGTAGGGAAAACAAAAATTGTGGCCTGGCCTTCACATCAGGCATGGTTGCCAATCTGTGTGATAATAAACATGTCTGCATTTATTCATCTGAAATGGAGACTCGTCTCTCACTGAGCTATTATGAACTAAGTGATCCCCAGCTGTGAGGCATATACAAGTACCTCCCTGATTGGTAGATTGACCTGATTCGCCCTTGTTGAAGCCAACTGTAGCATTCTTGGTATGTGACTACTGGGCAAATTTCTGGGTAATTTCCATCTGAAGATAATGTGATAGCCTTTCTACATCCTAAGCTTGCTGTTGATGATTGATGTACAATGCAGTGGTTGCACATTGACTGTGAAATTTTAACGAGGAAATGTGCCTGGAGGATTTTAATGTCAGAGGAAGTATTGTGAATGTTGATTTTTTTTATGAATGCCGTCTGGCATGGGTGTCACTGTCAAAATTATGCTGTTATTGACCAAGTGTCAGAAATGTTAGGACCATTTAGGGGCAGGAAGCCAGTGATGGTGTGATAGGGAGAGGCTGGAGAATTCCATATTTGCCCGTCGTTTCTTTAGGTTTTTCCTCAGGCCCATGGCCAGCTGAGTTCAAGGGGTGTATCTTTATAGTAATAAAAAAATTGGAGTCTTTCATGCTGGACCCTCCCTGTGATTACCATGAAATTCTTGAAATTCAGTCATCATATTTAATCATCATGATTATGACTCATGCATTCACACAAGTGAATTGCAAAGTTATTTTATTACAAAGTTACAGAACATTTTAAAAGTGACCGGTTCTGCTGGAAAGCAGACAGTGTTCCAAGTGTAGCTGAGTCCATGCATCTTGTTCAAGAATGAAACTCACAATATTGAGCTTGGTGGAGTGTCAAAGCATTTTAAAAAGTATACCCTTGAGAAAAATAGTGAAGCAGTCATCGTTATAAATCCTGTCGCAGAAAACAGGCTACCTTGGACACCTACATTGCGCTGTATTTCTTTCAGCACATTGCAGTTACTAAAGGCATTTCCACTGGCAATAACTAAAAACATTACACGTTTGCAGTTCTGCAAACAAGTTACAGTTTATGCACACCCGTTTTCCCCCAGCATCCATTTGTTCTCAAGTCGTTTGCTTCTAATCATCTACCTCTGCTTGCTGTAAATTGTTCAAAGCATCATTGGAGCACCACCAATTGGAGTCCACTGGCGACAGATTGCCAGACTGCAAATGAGTTCCACATGGACACACACTGTCTGGCGGCGCTAATGAAAATTGAAGCATTAGGTCTCAGTGTTTTGTTATGGAGCCTCACGGTTTCACAGATCAGTCCTGTAGATTTGCCTGGCCAATGAGCCATGCAATTCATTTTGCAAGCTTTTCTCATCTAAATTTATTACTCTAGTTTTGGCTTATCAAGGAATTTTAGTACAGATTGTCTCTAGGATCATGATCACCTTATTTATTTGAAATTGCTCATTTGGGCAGTTTAAGCACTTGGTCATCAATGTCAACTGCTGGTTTATTTTCATTTTTCCTTTGATATGGTTTGAGGACATAACATTTTTAAAATGTTCCTTAAATTGGATAAAAACTACTCTTAAATGACTTTACATGTCAGTAAGATTTCACCTGACATTATGCTTAAGTGAATTATCCACTTCGCCTAGGTTAGCAAACTCGGTCAAATGCAGGAAATCTACCATACACATCTGGGACCAGTGGTTTTTCTACTCATCAATTGAAAAACAGACTGGAATGACCAAACTTCCCCATTTTGTGTTCAACCTCTGAAACAGGATCTGAAACAGCTCTCTGAATCTTCTGAAACAAATAATAATTTGAATGAGTCAGAGAGATACTCAAACATTCCCTACTTTTGGTTCACTCTTCAAATTTTGTAACAGTGTTGAATTGACATCCACTACTGGCATAAGGAATGAAACTGCAACTGAATTCTGTTCACTTTCTGTCCAGCAGTTGTGGAGTGAAGTGTTTACAGAAGCAGGCAATTTCAAAGTGCAGTTTCCAAACACAAATTCAGTAACTTCTCACATGCTACAGGTTATGCCCTGTAACTGACTTGTATACTGTGAATAAGGAGGCGGCTTTTTTTTTCACCCAGTTACTTCTGTATCTATGAAAAACGTACTTTACCAGTGGTCACTGGCTTCAATCTCCCCACCTGCTGCTTGATACTGCCTAATCTGCTCCCTTGACACTGCCTTTCCCCTTGTACACATGACAGGTTTTCCAATGTTGAGGCTTGGAATTTAAACTTGGAATTTATTCCCCCCCCCATTCAAATTCTTGAACCCAGTTACTCTTAAGTTACAGCATTTTCACAAAGCCATGGTATCAGTGTGCAGTTATTACTAGTTTTTCCCCAGCATCAACAAAGAATTTGCCGTTTTTTTGCCTGTAATACATAAATTATGAAATTTTTTCATGTAGTGATTAAAGCGGTGTAAAATATCAAGAATGAATCAAAAGAATATCTCCTCTACCTTTGTGGAAGAAACCTTTCATTTATTGTGGATTTTGAACTTCATTTTTCTTATATCTTTGTCTCCATTCAGCACATGCATGGTACTAACAGTTGTATATTTTTTCCAGTAGTTGTGCAGAAGTGATCGACGCAGTACCATACATTCCTCATTACGGCATTCACATGAAACTATATGTACGTGTATCTTCCACCTTAATAAATGAGATTTTTTATGTCAATCTGTCTGCAGAATTCGCGTCTCCAGCTCTGCTGCGTCGCAGCCGCATCTTACAGGGGGGTTATCCGGGATCCCAACCTGGCAGTAAAAGCAGCAGCCTAAACAGCATCCTGAAACCGTCACCAGTTCCCCGCCGGGATCATGGATCTAGCACCAACCGACCTACAGCCATCCTTGTCAAGGATGTCAAAACCAACCACGGTGACATCTGGCTGCGTGGGCTAGTCGGGGTCAATGGACACACTGGACTCCAGGGCACCTCCAGCGATGATGATGAAGACGATGTCTTCTTGCCGGACAGGGCACTGAGGCGCAGTCAGAGCGAGACGGACAAGGAGTGGCTGGAGAGGAAGCACTTTGAGGTCACACCTAGGGCTAAGAACCATTTCCCCTACCGCTCGGACCCTGGCAAGCGCGGGTTAAAAAAGTCACTCTCCATTGGACTCAAACAACAGGAGCCCCCGACTCAACAAATTCCAAACATTAACTGGGAGCCAGATGCCAAGGCACGGAGAGCCCTGCTTGGACGATCCACAATAGTATAATCAATTGCACGAGCGCCCTCGTGCAATTGATTACATGTCAGAAGCAGTAGGCATTACCTACAAACATTTGCATCTTGCTTGTTTTCCTTTGTCTTAATGCTGTTAACTCATTTCTTCATCAGCAAAGTGGAAAACAGAGGGTGCGTGTAAATGGTCAAAAAGTGGTTATTAGACTTCAAAGGAGTGATGTTTCCTTATCTGCTGAAAGATTTGTTCTCGCAATTGCACAAAACTGTGAAATATATATTTATTCTTTTAATTTAAACAAAAGAGCCTTTAAAGCTCTTTTGAAGGCTTTAAAAAAACCTTGGACAAGTATTTAAATGCTTCATGTATACATGTAATCGTCTTATGTTCTACAGTACTAAGTAAACTGTGGTCTCTGTAGGATGGATAGATATGTACATGCATGTCACGGTGGCTAATTCTCACGCATTTAGCCCGAGATTTCCGTAGTTCCAGTTTTTCTTATGCCATCATTTCCATTTGGAAATTTTCAAGCTTACAATAAAAGTATAACCTAAAACAATAAAAAAGTAGCAATTCTCTTCACATGTTTGAGTTCTATGCCCTGTCTTCACTTAGAAAGGAAAACATTCCCTAGGCTGTAAGCCTTTGTCCTGGTAAAGAACGCATAGGCCTGGTTTGATTGACTACATTATGCAGCTACGGTGTTGCCCCAAACTGGCTTCCAGCCATATGTCTGAGACACCTTAGCCATGAGGTACTTCCTCTGCTCATCAAAAGAATGCCACCGATCCACCACACATTGCACAAAAGTTATGACCAGTGTTCATCAGAATGAGCACAAACAATAACAATATGCAGTTTTAGAGTTCAGCCTTCTGCCCCCAAAGAAAGCTGAAGCTTACATATGAAATTTAACGTTTTGCCTTGCAGAAAAGCTGCTAAAATATGCATGTGTTTAGATTAAACTTTAAACTACAAGCCAAATCTGTGGTAAAAGTGTACTAAGTCAAAGGCTAACTTCTTGTTTAGGTTTTTAAAGGATGCTTACCTTGCGCCCCATGTGTATGATGGTCAATGCAATCGGACATTGAAAATTACCATACAGCATATCATGATTAGTGTCAAGTTCTCTCCTCTACAGCACTTCAGTATGAGCCACGATAAGTAGATGAGAGACTCATCTGTTGCGTATTATAGCAAAGCTTCAAGTTGAACGTAATGTAGTGGAAAAAGATTTTTATGTCATCTTGAGACCAAACATGCAAAAGTAAATGCAATCTAATCTAGAGTGCAATGTGCATTGGGTAATTCAAACATTTTTCTTCCTTTTGCTTTTAGAAAAAAGTTTGTTTTGTAAAACTGAAGTTTGACCCAACATTGTTTTTGTTGGAAAAAGGGAATATTATTCTTTACATACGTGAACTAACTGTACACCAAGTACTGAGAATAAAGAACTTAAACGCTGTGTCATTCATTGAAATGGGAAGAATGTTTAATGCCTATTAAGAAATTTTCTTTTGGTATAAACATGTTATATGTACCACTGCACAATTCCGAAAGAGTGAATTATCGCTCTCACCGTAACTACAGAGACCAGACAATAAAATCGAAAAGTTCATTATGTTAGATTGAAAGAGTAAACAAAAATCATTCGAGACTTGTCTATTTCACTGCATTTCACCTTGTCTCTAGTTTCTGTCAGATTTGACTTCCCGAAGTCGAATTTGCAATATGAGCAGTGCCTTACAGACAAAAACTAAACGTTTTTCACGAGGAACTGTAATTTTGCAGAGCAAGTTGAGGTACTTAAGAGCAGCATTCATTTGTGTCTATGTTGATGTCCACCTGAAATCCTCTGAAGTACAGCAATTTCTTTGTGACTTTTTGGATTGGCTTTTTATTTTCAATAACTCCATTGTTTTAACTTTTATGCTATTGCTCGGAGAATCTCGCCCAGATGAATTTTAAAGACCAAGATTTCTTTTTAAAAATTATACTTCGCGAAAAAATTCCAAATGGACCTGACAAAGTTGATGGGTTAGTTGTGGTGGGTTAAATTGGGGAAACTTTAATGTAATTGTGTAACTACAAAATGTGTAGGCAGTTGTATACTTTGTACATATATAGTCAAACGCCTTGCGCGATGTTCTTTCCATCTAGTAATTTATGATGAATGTGTCACGTATGTTGCCTTAAATAAATTAAACAAGATCTATACTATTATCATTTACTGTGACTCTTCCCACTTGTTTTCTATTTATTCCAAAGTGTTTCATCTTTAGCCCTTATGTTTTAGCGCGCTACTGGGAAGGGAATCCGGAAGGGTATATGTATGACGTAATTTTGTTAAGCATTCATTGGATAAAGTTCATTAACAGTGACATGGGTGCGCATGCGCTCAATATATAGTCCGTGTTCATGCGAGGATTAGGAAACGAAGCAATGCGCTACGCCTTGTGCATGCACCGGAGCTGTGACACGTTTCCTTTTCAAGACTTTGCCATTCCCTGGGCCCCCTGTAAGCCTGGACGTGAGCCAGCAAGACATTCGGCTTCGACAGTTTTATATGTGGGGAGGTTGCCAGCGTATTTATCTGAAGAGAAAAAAGAATATTCCTCATTGTTCGCGAACTCCATTTGGTATTTTTCAAAAGCCAAAATTTTGTCTTTCCTAGAATATTTTTCAAAAAGCTTACCTCTTTTTTTCTAACACCAATTACCTTTACACTTTATCAATATGGGATTTTTGCCTTGGAAAATACATTACAGTTTACTCGTAAAAAAGTTAAAATATTATTACCTTGAAATGCTCAACAAGAATTGCAAAATATGCTGTCATGTGGAAACAAAAAGATACACTGGATCATCAGAGATAAATTACCCCTTAAATTAAATACGGAGTTAAACGATAACGCTTTGTGGGAACATTGATCAATGATCATGCATCTCTGAAAGTCTGAAGTTTCTCAGAATCACGGAAAATGGCATGACAGTATCTTATAAGTTGGAAGACGACTTCCGAGATAACTTACCACTGGATATGGCGACATCGTTAAAGTTGAATAGCGACATTATTTCGTCACCGTTAAGAAGAGCCACACATTGAATTTTTAAAGAAAAACTAGTTTTCGGAGAAAACACCCTAGAGGCTAGTCCTCTTTCAAAGCAGCAACTTGAAAAAATAACTATATGGAACAAGTTAATGCAGCAAAAAACCTCAAATGATTCTTTGAGAACTAAGTAATTTAAATGAATACAGTGCTTAATTAGCCGAAATCAATCTATTAATAAAGATGCGTGTCTGTTCGTGCTTTCCAAGTTTTCCTACTTTGTGGCCCTTCTGTGCAATGTATTTTTTCATGGGGAAGGGGCACACATGTTCAAGCGGGCAACTGTTACATTGTAAGAAAGAGGTTTGTTATACCACAGTCGTAGATACTGAATATTTATTGATCGCAAATTGATCATGATATGCCATAAGTGCGCATGTATCATTCAGGCGTCGAGCGCGACGCGGGGATGTTGCCAGCCCGCAAAAAATGATGGATAGGCCAAATGGTCATCTTTCCCACAGTTGATGTGTCGTGTCCACTGAGTTATAATTGTAGAATGCTGCTATTTATACTAATTCGTTTACACATTTTCCGAAACTTTCCGGGAAAACCTACATTATCAGGAATAAAACAATGAAAAACAAAAGGTTTGGAATCTAAAATTGTGCCTGTAACAGTGCTCTTACTATTACTAACGACAGATGATGCAAGATATTGGGCAGAGAGAACCCCCCCACCTTTGTGTTGGTCATTGTTTGATCGGAATCTCAGGAAGTTTTTACAGACTTTTGGGGAGATGTGTTGGGTAACAATAGTCTAGAGTGTGTATAAGGATTGGACATGTGGGGGGGGGGGTACCCATCGGCCCCATATCGTGCACGGTATCACTAACGAGGTTAGGCTAAATTCGAAATCGTGATTCACGTGAAAGAATTTCAGCCCAAGAGTGATAGTAATGTGAGGTGATTCGTTTGGACACCATGCTTGGTTCAAGAAATAGGCCTACGCTTGAAAAAAAAAACCAAGAAAACAAATTTACCACATACTGTTGTAATAATCAGGTTTATTTTCAATAACTGTAACTTCCTAGAAATTAGATGTTAATGTAAAATAGTTTAACACAACAAATGCTTCCAAAGAAATAACCGAACACCCGCTCTAGATTTGATAGCAGCAGTACAACTTTAGTCAGACGGGGGGGGGCATCTGGGGCCAGGGATGAACACAAGGAGGCAATGAACGGAATATGAAGTATGGCTTGTACATATTAAAGCTGTGCACATTTCAACATTTTAAATGGGGAGGAGGAACGGGCCAGGGGCAAGAACTCCCACTGGGAATGGGGCACGTGTCTCATGTAACCCCTCCCCCATGTTATTCTACTGATGTGATGCAGAATGACCCCCTTGCATTTTTCCCACCTCCAGCTGAGATTAGTGGCTTGTTTCCTGTCCTCTATCTGACACATTTCTAGCATGTTTGATACTCCTCGTGGAATTCGCTCATAATCTACACTAGTTCTTCAACTTGACAAAGTACACTCTGCAAGACAAAATGGCTCCGTGTTTCCTGGAGGCTGCTATTCATTCCGTTCACGAACCTCATGTCGCGAGAGGGCGTTCGCGATGACCAACTGCAATTGCTCATGGGCGAGGTTCGAGCAGCATTATGGGGGCATTCGCAGCTAATTTCGTGGTTGTCATGTGTTTGTAAGTTAAAGGAGGGTCTGTCGACTGAGGGAATTCTTGAGATAAGCACTTTTTTCTTGGTAGGAAATGAAGACAGGGTCGGCAACAGAAAAAAAGATTTATACTTCTCGATTGCAGCCTAAAATAGGGGTCGGTCGGAAACGAGAACCATAAACTACGGACACCTTTGAAAGACTGACTCGAGTGGTGTAGTAAAACTCCTCGGTGATCTATAAAACAGTTATTTTGCCATGGCGAAGCCGAGGGATCATCGGAGGCAAGGTTTATTGCACCATGAGATAATAATGACAGATGTATATGAATAATGACTGTATGCTTTGAGTGGTGTAGTAAAAACTAGCCATTTCACCTATTTTGTGGGCACCGAAAACGTTATGAGGCCAGAGAAACGTTTCCGTGACTCGATCCTCATTTGCCTCAAAAAAAAAAAAGATTGTCCCCTTAACCCAATGAAGGCCTAACCAGTCAATAGCACCTCTTACACAGATTCTGCTTGATTTAAGCGATAACTAATTAATCTGATCTCAATAGGAAAAGGTACGTCTATTTGAATAAGAAACTTGTTGAATATAACTAATAAGATTTTTTTCCAAACTTCTCTTCAGTACTTGAACCCAGCTCTGCAGCGCTTGCATGCACTTGGAATACGGGCAACTCACAAGAGTTTGCAACGCGCGAAATCTGTCGACCCATGATGCGCGTTTGGAAAGGATCGACAGAGTTCGCGCGTTGTGATTGGCCAACGCGTTGCAAACGCTTGGAGGCGCACTATTGTGAAAGGTCCATATTCCAGTATGTACGTTTTTGGCTGCGTTGCATACACGATGCGTTCATGCGTTCCACTTTCACGGACACAAAAAATCGACTCCATTAACATAACGCACGGATGCGTTGCTTTCGACCGTCAAAATCGCATCGGGAGTGATTTTGATGGATACGCAACGCTTGGCGGGAGTGTTAACGTGCGTATTGGAAGGCGCCTTTTTAATGGAGTCGATTCGTAAGTCCTGGCCGTGATTTCAAGTGAAACGCATGAACGCATTGCGTACGCAATGCACCAAAAAAAAAACAAAAAACGTACATCATGGACCGGCGTCTTTTGGTTGCAGCTGGTACAGTCCTTTAGTTGCAAAGGGTAGACTTCATTAATTAATTTTGGCAGTGAGTAAGACAACATAAATAGCGGGGAAAATCAACGTCATGTGACTAGCTTTCGCCCAATCAAGATACAAAGTCCGTTTGCAAGGTGTTATAGCTAATATGGATTAGTCCAAGTTATCCATCGCCTGAACGAGGATGGCTTGGACTATCTACCATTGTTTATCCACCTGCTTATCCGTCAGACAGTCATTTTGGCTTGAGAAGAGCACGTTGCCTGCCACGCCACTCGTCATGGTCACCCATACAGCTGAAAGTTTTGTTGTCAGTTTCTACATCTTCCACTAGAACATTAACTATCGTCTTTGCTGATCTCCCCCTGGATGGCTTGCCGTGCCAGGGGGCTTACAACCCTGTTTGTTGGCATGGCGGTAGCAGTGACCTGCGAGGCGCAATCTCCGCTTCTGAATCTTAACGGATGCCAATCAGGAGATCCCCATGCAGCTCTTCATTGGTCGTGTGCATTATCAGCTGTCATTGATGACATTCTGGATCATCCTTGTACAGCACCCATCAAGGGACTTCACCAAAGGCTGAATGAGGGTCCTTATACATTTTGCCTTACACCCGTAGATGAGGATGGTTTCAATTAGCTTGAGATTCCTTGATAGGTGGGACGTCTAGATTTTGCTAATGTCACTGAGTGTTCTCCAAGCAAAGGGTTTTTCTGGTCTTCGTATCTTTCTCCGAGCTCTGCATCCTGGACTCAAGTTTTTGAAGTCTTAACACGCTTGGGGCATGTACCATAATTAATCTTCGAAGGGTTCACGCTGTCCCACATCATGCTATTTACTCTTTCCTCCTGGCGTCCAAGTGAATAGACTAACCTTGCTACGTTCTCCTCCACTCGTCTTAGTATTTCTTAGGCTTCTCTGGTCTGGTCTGAGAGCAGGACGATATCATTCGGAAAGTCCAGGTCTGAGAACTTGACTGACTGGATTCTCCTCGACCTCTATGCCATAATGATGACGTCAAGGTTACCGTGGTCCTTGAGATCTTGCAACAGGATGTAGTTGAGCACAATGAAGACAAATAGCAGGCGTGTACCCCCGCGGAGGACTCTAGCCAGGATGTCGAACACACCGCCCCTTCAATTCAATGGGTGATCAAGTTGGTCTTGGTATTCGTGTAAGTGGCCTGAATGGTTTTCAGAAGGCGTGGAGGCATTCTACGCTCCTTTAAGATCTTCATCATTTTCCTGCAATTGATCCATTTAAAAGCTTTTGTAAAGTCTCTGAAGATAAGGACGGCCATGGTTCTTGATCCTTCGAAGTGCAGTGTACTGATCAACTGACACCTCCCTTCTCTGAAGCCATCTTGGTCGTATCTCAACATTGCGGCGTCCATGCATACTCGGATCCTGCTGAGAATCAGGCGGCTGTAGATCTTGGCCATAATGCAGGTGAGACTGCATGGTGCCTTGGTAGTAATTGTCCGTCTAGCCAATATAATATAAGGCCGTGTCCGAATTACTTGGCTGCCGCAGCCAGTCCCCATAAAGTTGTGTGTAATTTCAAGCCACAGCCATGTGATTCGGACGAGGCCTACTTAAGAGAACCATTTACATGAATATGTTTACGTTACTTTCAATGCACCCCTCATATTTTTTGAAGGAGGGGGCTTGGACAAGTGCTCGAACTAGTTCACGGCTCGCACTCGCCCCACAACTTCGTGAGTTGATTTGCTGTGATAGCGCCCTCTTGTGGCGGCTGGTTGGTTAACCAACGTCTTTAGGTGCAGTCCACTAATTCAAGTGAGAACTTCTGGCCAGTTTATTAGCATGAAAAGTGTCCTGTAGTTCCGTAGAAAAAGGAAATTGTTTGGTGACACCCTAAATGGTGATATTTTGTAAATCTATCTGAGAGCCAAATGGCTGAAAAATACTGTTGAAAAAGGGTCCTAAGTGCCTGAGAAAGTTGAGGGTTGCCACTTGAAAAATGGCAGCAAGCAGCCTTCGTAAAAATCGTTTTTCGGGGGGGTGGTTGTGGGAATAATTGAAATGTAATCAGTTAACACAAAAAATAAAAGAAATTTGAAGCACCTATATTAGGGACCAGACAATAATTTTATGTTTGTTTCAGAAACGTCAGTCATGTTGTTATGTATGTTATTGCTTATTTGGCCCTTAACATAGGGTTTTTTAATAGCTTTGATGGGAATTGTACTGTACCGGCATACCAAGCACGCTCGTGCCTAGTCTTGGTTTCAAGACGTTAGTGCTTGATAAAGGACATCGTGCATAGCCGCGCCATTTCACGCCTCATAATTAGACTGTGCGCCCGCTTGCACTTTGTGCGAGGGCGCTCTTCAACAGAAATGAAACAACTACGAATCCCCGACGTCTTGGGTCAAGACTATTTCTGACACACCTCCAGACCAATCTAAGCCGTCACGATAAATGGGGGGTCGCGTTTGTGTTACTCAGTTCTTTTGCCTGGTTCGGTTGATAAATCAGTAGAAGATACCAATAAAAACTAATCCTTTAAAATCTAAATTTTTCATTAAATTGCAGTAAATGGTAATATTTTACTAAAAGAGGTACGTTAATTACAATTTCTTTAAGTCCGCCTCCTAAACAGAATTGTGGGTCCCTGACGTCATGATCGAGCCTGTCCGCAATATTTGCACTCCATTGCCGTTTTTGAATACTCGACTTCGTCTCGGTACCAGGCTTCATCTCCAATGTCAATTCCCGATCCAAGGTCTGAAGCGTTTGAATTGAATTTTAAAACTGTAATATTTTGCTCTTTCGTAATTAATACGATATTCAGGTTGTACTACTAGGCTTACTTTTGAGCTAATGACTTCACAGTCAAGTGGTAAAAACAGATGAAGCCTCGACTACTGAGGCATAGTCGAACATTAGAAAACGGTCCATGCTATCGTATTACGGCCTCGTAGTATAGTATAGTTTACGTAATACAAAAAGCCGAGTCGTCATATGTACCTGTGAAAGTTTGTAGAAGAGAAAGTATCGTTTCTTCAAATCTTGAAATGACAGTGACTTTAGCCTTTTAGTAAGCGAAATCAGGATGGCTAGACACACCATATGTGGAAATGTTTCATTCAGAAGATGCTGTTGCTATTTTTCTCGAAGTATCAATCCAATGAAAGCATGTTTTGCTCGACTCAAAACGACGGCGGCTAGGGCTTCTGGCACAAAAATCTCTCTTGAAAATGGCGACGATGCCGAAAACAACGCAGAGAGCCTGCAACTGTCCAACCACAGACCCCGCGTCCTCCAGGGGAATGGCCGGCGAACCTCGGCGGCCGTGGGGCCATTACCAGCAACAATGGCTACGGCGGCAACCTCTTTGGACAAGCGTAGACATCCTGGAGGCAGGGCAGATGGTTTAGGCCTAGATACCGTCTTCTGTGACTGCAAGGAGGCATATCGCAGCAAGACCACCTTGGAAATTGCCAGGGCCTTCTTGGTTTTCAAGTTATGCCAGTTGAATTTTCTGGTGAATTACAACAAAGAGGTAGGATTTCATAACTTGACATGAGCGGGAGTTGTGCAAATTTGGAAAGGATCCAGGAAGAGTTTCATGTATAGACATCATTATTTTTCCCCATAGGCTACAGTGGTAGGACATCAGCCTTCAGAAAGTGATTATTCATGATAGTATAACGTTAAACATGATAAAAAGTTAAATTTACCAGAAAAATAAAGAGGCCTTGGGGAAAGTTCCATATACGGACGAAAGGAAATATTCCCTACAGTGACCTATTAGCTGTCAGAAAGCAAAAACATGTCCAGAAAAGTTGTTTACTTAGAAAAAACTTAAAATTTTTCAGACCAGTCCTATAGGGTTTGTGCGCAGGGTGTCAAGTGGCATCCGTGTATGGAACTCTTTCCGAAGCCTTTAACTTTTGAAAAATAACATTTTTTCAGACCAATGTGCACTCAGCACACGGTGTCAAGTGATGTCCATGAATGGGACTCTCTAGATTGAGTATCCTGATATGCCTGAAACATTCTAAGTAATTACCAGCAGTGGTGTACAGTAGCTGGGGGAGGGGGGAAGCGTGTCCCCCTACAATTTCCCGGTGCCCCTCCCCCCACTAAAAAACCTATGAATGGATATTGAACAAGGCTAACAAAAGCTTGCCCCAAAAAACCACACCCCTGAAAGCTGGTGCCCCCGTAAGATGCTTGTGCCCCCTTGTGCCCCCTTGTGCCCCCCCCCAGTAAAATCCTAGCTACCCCACTGATTACCAGTATATTCATAGTCCCAACAGTCCCAAATCCTCCAATCTCAATATGACCTTGCTCTATGATTTGACATACAGTCTATGGGTCAGGGTTAAACATGATAAAGGATTTAGAGCCCCAGCAAAGCCAATGCAGTGGTTTGTTTCCCTGGAAGAACCCAGTCCCATGAAGGCTCACAACATGAGAAGATTCAGTCATAAACCCTGTGGTCTCCATGTCACAAGTCACAGTCATAAAGCTGATTTTTTTCAAACTTAACTCTATTATTAGCCATCTCACATGAGTGAATAAATAAATATAAAGCAAACATCAAAGAGGCACTGTATTTGCAACTAATAGCAATCACGGATGGTCTTTTCTTCAAACCACACTTAACAAGGTAACATGTAGGGTCTGCTCTTTTGACGTCACAGTCGTGTTTTTCCTACTTGTGGCAGCTATGGTTGGCTGTCGGTTCAAAATAAAAGAATAGGCCTAATTCAGAAAGTGTTAAAACACCCGATGATAATACATGTTCCAATTGAAAATATAACCCTATTTAAAATCAATGGAACAAATGTCCATTGTGAATGAATTAATTGTATTAATAACTGGGGACCTCTACTCGACAAGCAATGCTTTTTAGGGGTCTCCATCCATACAGACTATTGTCTTCACAATATATGAATCATATGAAAAATAAAGTGAAGGTGATGATGATATTGAAAGAGAAATAGAAACCAACCAAACGAAGGGAGTTCTGCATACTTTGGCTGCCCATACAAATAGTAGGTAAAAATTAGAGTGGTGTATTTTAAGTATACTGATGTGTTAAAAAATTGTCCTGGTTCTAATAAGTATGATAAATCCACCATAATGAGTGAGGTGCTCCAATGAGTGGAAACCGGATGTTCACTTTATGGATAACAGATGTAAACATGGCAAGGTCCAACTACATGTAAACAGTGCAGTGTGGAAAAAAAAGAACAGACTCATTAAAAATATCCAATCTGTATTTATACTGAGCTATCTTTGGAAAGTCTGTGTTATATTTACGCATTCAAAATTGTTAATGGAAGTACATGTATACAAAAATTCAAAGAGCATCGCTACAATGCTAGTATCTTTCATGGTATTGGCAGCAATTTTTTTCATCTTCTAAAGGTAGAATGACTTTGCATTATGTATTTGAAGTAAGATTTGTTTGGAATCATTTGTTGTTATTTGGGTCATTCCATGAGGTTGGGGCACAATTTGTGACGGTGTCAATTGTTACATGGGTTCCATAAAATGGACACCTATTTCCCTGCATGTGGATTCCAAACTGACATTGTTTTACATCTTGCAAGGCTGAATACAAAGGTGTGTGTTACTTTTACAGAGTAAAGGATCTACTCTACAGGTCATGGCAGACGATAAAAGTTACCCATGTAACAAGGACACCGTCACAACTTGTGCCCAAACCTTATGGAATGACCAGATTCACTTCAATTTTATAATGCTGTAGTCATGTCATTTCTGAGTAATTCCTTGTTTGACCGTGACTGTGACTAGATCTAAAAATATTCAAACCCAAAACCAAGATATTATTTTTTCTTTATCCTAATTATGTCCAGATCATGAAATTCTCCAGGAAGGTTTTCGGTAAACGTCTGTTTGAGCTTGCCATGGATGCCACCTTTTATGGACACTTTGTCGCCGGCCGTGACCAGGTGTCCATCCAGCCCACCATCGACCGGCTTGCCCAGTTTGGTGTGGGGTCCATCCTCGACTACAGTGTAGAGGAAGACATGCCCCACAGCGACGCTGTGGAGGCAGAGATGGGGTAAGAGTCAGCTGGAGACTTGCTTGGCCCCGTGTCACAGAGCTTTGCGAGGCAAACGGAGATCGCTCTGCCAGATTTCTGTGTTGAGAAAAATTGAGCAAGGAACAAGTCGGAAACAATATCCAACACATGTCTTTTTTAAGGCTGGTTCCCTATTTCTTCTGCAGAGCCGAAATTTGCCGTGAACAAATATCTGTACCCATCGTGTAGCTCCATGAATTGGCCACTGACCTCATGTAATGTCTTGGGGCAAGTTGAGGTACGAATCACAAACTAAATTTGGCCATTTGTCAGGAGCTTTTTAACAGCAATGCCGTTTTCGAAACAACTACACAAAAATGGCCCTTATTGAACATTTAGCATATGTCTCCGACTCAAGCGTCGTACATGGTCATTACATCTAGCCCCGGTACATGTATTTCCATGTGAATGATTTCCTTTGCACTGATACATATTGCCTATTGATAACCAGTGGTGTGACCACGCCCTATGGAGTGGTTCCAAATGGTCAACTCTCTGGTCCAAATCATCCATTTTTTGGATAATGTTTGTCAAATCATAATTAACAACAGTTGTCAACAGTTGGCCTGAATTCCTTTTGCAGCTGAGTAGATGCTTTGTGTGTCGTAAATTCTTGTGCAAAGCAAAAGTCAGCTGAGAACCAGCCATGAGGGATAATGTGCATCATGATATACATATATTTGGCTGGTATTCTGTTGAAACTGTTGAAATGTTTGCTATGCGTAGCTAATTGCTGTGCTCAGCGTCTCCATAAGAATTGTCTCCTGAAAATGATGGGAGGCAACAAACCTCTGAAATTGCATTGCTTGCTTTGCTCCATTTAAATACTGCCTTTCCCCCTAATCTGATTGGCCTAGTCCACAAGTCATACATAAACAATGCAGTTTGTTTGAGTTTTGGCTATGTGCAAATCCAAATTGGCATCTCCTCAATACAGCCCCCAAAATGTCATCAACCCTGCCATTCTTGAAGTGTTTACTTACATGGACGTGAACAGATCTATGTAAATCATTCATCATCATCACTTGGTTTCCTGTTCATGAAGTAGGCCTATACAAAGCCTTGGAAAGGACCACTCAAGGTGATACATTCTGTATCCATCACACTCTCCAAGGTTAAGGGTGACACCAACAGCTTCTTTCAATCTTGTGTTCAGGAAGCACAAATAATAGGCCTCTTGTGTATGGGCAATTTTCAAAGGTCACCCCCTCGCATGAATACAAGACATACACTTGCGCAGATGGACGCAGATGGACGACGTTTGAAGGTCCATTCCACTTGCACCCCTTGTGAAGAAATGAACATGGTTTGATGGGATATAGAACAGTGCATGGTTAGTGCATGGATGATAGGGAGAATAGAGCTTCATACGTGCTTTCCCATGTAACTCGGAGTTGACCTTCTTTGCTTTGTCGCAGTCATAGCTTTTGCCAGTGAACAATGTATAATTAATTAAAAGAATTATATATAACGGGTTTGCCCTAATTAAAAGAATCTCAGGCAGCTACATGTACCAAAACAAAACACTAAAACTAAACACTAGTACCCAAAACTCAGTGAAAGTACATGTACCTCACTCTTGAACACTAATGAAGCAAATATGCATTTTGAGGCAAAAGCTACTGCCTACCAGGGGTGAACTTTCTTCATGCTTTGGCCCACCCACACAAATTGGTGATCAATGTTTCAATACAAAAGAAAGCTACTTTTCCCACCTGAGCTGTTGAACAGGCTTACAAGACTGCCCATGCATGCTTGTGATGTACATGTAACTCCCATCACTGATGCAGCTCTGCGAGCGGGGTTTCTGGTGTCTGACCAGTTTGAGTCCTGAGTTAGATGCCAGGGTTCACTGAATGATTTAGGGCCAACCCATGCCAACTCAGGTGGGCCCTGTACTTGAGTTTAAAATGCGTTGGCATTTTCACACAAGCTATTCATTATAGAGGGCAGTGTGAAATATTTAAGGCAAGACTGATCGTTGACTGTCGGTCAACCACTAGCCTATTTTGCCAAAACACAGGACATATGTGCAACTGTTGTGCATAGGTTACTTGACAAAGTTCATCAGCGGTTGACAAAAGTTCACTGGTAGAACTAGTTTCAGTTCTAAGCATGGCACTGCTACTTTTTGAATACAGAACGATTTCCACTGGCATGGTGCACCATAGTGGGGGTAGGGAGTGTGGGCCGGGGGCGGGGGAAGGGGAGAGAATTGTCAATCTTTCCCTCACATTGGCCAGTGACTCAGGTCAGAATGGTGGGCACCAGTAGGTCAAGGGCTACTTTAAAGCGGTGAAAAAAAAGTCAGGCGAGTGCCTGGATGAAGATCCTAAGGGTAAGTAGTTGGTCAAAGGTCAAATTCAGATTTCTCAGGAAATTGATAGAGCATTGAAATATCTTTATTTGGCAAGGGGCTAATATAACAATCAAAAAAAGGAAGATAGTGTTTCATTGTATTTGCCTGAAATAAGGACATTATATACTCATACATGCATGCAACAAAGCGGCGTTAGCATTCCACTGAGATGGGGATGTAAAGCAAACTTCATTCTCGGCAGAAGGTTGTTAGAATTGAACATTCCGCTTAAGTTCACTTTTTAGGCACAAGTTCCTGGCAAAGGTTGTTGGCATGAAACATTTATTTTAAATCAAGATTTTTTGTACATAAGAAGGTACATTGCTTTTTCTATTACAGTATTAACAAAACTTCAGTGTAAATTTCAGACATAACTAATTTTTTCATTAGAGAGGGGAGTGCAAAAACTTAAAATGTGATTATAAATTTCAAAAAAGGATCACCTGTGTGTGTACCTGGCCCACTAACATCCTTTTCCGTTTGCATTCTCATTGACTTCGCTCTATGCTACCCACAAGTCACCACCATCATCTTTGACATTCACCATTGCCATCACCGTCATCATCCTGTTCACCCTTGTCGCATTGCTACCATCCGTTGTACAATGTTAGGAATATCGTATGCTTCATCTTTTCACATCTTACACTGAAAGCACTCTGTCTGTTTCTGCAATGGCCTTATTGTCTTTTTTCATTTCTTGCCAGGTCCTGTGTGTCTCATGCTGAAATGGGAAAAGAAGGTGAACTGCAAACATTGTCTTTATTAAGTAACAATATGGAAATGTTGAAAATGATGTTTAAATTGATCTTTCTAAGAACCGGTTCAAAATGTTCACAAAATGGATAATCGTGTAAGAGAAATGTTTTCCCCTTCCTGTTTACCACAGAAACCCACCTGAAACAGTTTAAAGCCTACCGCGAGTTTGCAGACAGAAGGGCTGACGTGGAAAGTGCACGGACCTACTTCTATGAAGATGAGGAAAAATGTGATGACAACCTGAAGACCCTGCTGGATTGTGTGGATGTTGCTGGTGAGTTTGAGGTCAAGGTGGTGATTGAGGGGCTCTTGACCTACCACCCAGTCACTGGTGTACTGAGGACACTGGTAGGGGTTGTAGATCAGAGACAGGGATGATTTTTAACCTTTGACCCTGTAGAGTAGCTAGCGGTAGCACCAGGTACCAGACTCCCCAAGGAGATATTTCTTAGCTGTTACCGCAAGTTACTCCGCATTGTTTCCCCCACCATGCAAATCTTCAGATGTCAACTTTTGACCCCTTACCAACGCCCTTGGAATAACAGCCGCTGTCTTTTTATTAGGTGCTGGTTATAAATTCTGCTGCATGGGCTTGGTGCATAGGGCACTTTGTTGCGTGGCATCTGCATCCCACACGCGCTTTGCACTCTACCCCCTTAAGGCATGCAGAGCCTCGACCTGGCAGCTCTACGCATAAAAGATAGCAAGTTCAGTGATTCTCATATGTGTTACTTATGTAATTTTGTGCGTGCTGCGTTAGTTCTTTCACCGAAGCTTCCACTTTGAGGCTCTGCTTGCCAATTGCGGCAGCGTGCAAAGAGCGAATGACTCAAGTTTATCACATGTCTTTGTATGCACGTGGCACAGCATACGAACAAATGCTCTGCATCCAAAAATGAACCAACTTTTGGGTCTTCACAACAGCAGAGGGCACACATGGTAATTGCATTGATGTCCAGGCTTAGCGTCTCTCTTTGCAATGTGGGGGGGTTTATTGTCCTGCAAGTGGAGCTCATTATGGGCCGTGTTTGTAGGATGTTCACATTAAACAAGGCTGCGTGACAAATGAAATCGGAGAACTTTTGCTAATATTTCTGTATCCTTGATTTGGCTTTCCATTGCAATGTGCACTGACTGACTGACTGACTGACTGACTGACTGACTGACTGACTGACTGACTGATCATGAGAGGCTGTCCTTAACTCTAACGCTGTTCAATATATGAGAAAACAGGTGCATTTTGATTATTACAAATCGCAACCGGGCCACAGTCTGCCAGTCCGATTCTTGGAAAGAGCATGATCCCACGGGCAGACTAAAAAAGTGCTTTGCCATTTGCAGTCGATGATGCATGATGCATTCTGTGCTTGTACATGTACATGTATGTGAATGTGGTTAAAAGTGCTGTAAGGCCACCTGAATAGAATTCTTGGTTTCTCATCAGAACCTTTTGAAACATTCAATGAGCCGTGCATTTTTGGGGATTTATGTTCGTTTTTTTTCATGAAGTACACATACTTTACTTTGCCTCCAATGTAGTTACGAAGCTGCATATTAAATAATAACGAGGTATGCATGTACATGTACATGTTTAAAGCCATCTATTTCTGCCAACAAATACATGTACATTGACTTGGGAACAGTTCAGCTGGGATGATCGGGAGAATTTGGGATCATCTAAATGAATCACTGGTCTAAAATTTTGGGGGTAGTCTCAATTTTCTCAAAACCAGCCTTGTACCTTGCTGCCATCCTGCTGCCAACCAGACTTATTTGATAAATTAAATAAAAGCAGGAAATGGATGCGGCACCAATTTTGGGTGCTGCTGAGAAACTGGGTATTATGTTCATGTGGCCTAATGCCGAGGGAACTCTGCAGGTCAGAGTTGTTTATAGAGAGAGTTGTGACGTGAGTGTTTCAAGTGTTGGAATCAAAATGGGGGAGTATGCATCATTGCACATTGATAAGTTATAGTTGCATGCTGTGCTGCACACATAATGAATAGCCAGTTTGGTTCCAACCTTGTCAGTCATTCACAAATGATCACTGCCCAGTTTTCTGGTGCACTGAGGGATGTGGCTGTATGATCACATGTTTTTTTCTCTGTCTTACTATGTACACAGCATGAGCCCAGGTTAACTGCAATGTACCTTACATGCACGTACATACACGCACATACATGTACAGGTACTACATGCACCTGTAGGTACCTGAGTCGACTTGTTTGTGGTCACACGCTGTATAGAGTGTGTATGGGGAGCTGACACATTTCACGTGTTCTTAATGCATTTGCAGTCTATGCATGCCACAATTCCAGCCCAATAAACTTGTTTCAGTCCGAAATGTATTTGATTTTCAAAACCAAAGCTTCCCTTGGTCCAGTCCAGTCCCAGGTACGAAATACTCAAAAAATGTAAGAGAACAAACATGCCTTGTCTTTTCTTTCAACTTTTTTCCAAAAACATGTAATTAGTGGCCATTCTTTATTTCTTCTGCAAGCACAAAATCCAAAGCCTGTCTGACATGCAGATAATATTACATACTGAATAATGTTTCCGTGTGTTCTGTCAGATTGTCTGCATATATTTTGCAAATGTGTGTACAGTTTGTACAAAAATGGACCTGGCTCCTTACTTTTTTTTCAGGAACCAGTGGCGCCTCATTTTAATTTTTGCCAAATATAGCCCTGTATTCAGCTCTATTACAGGTTGTCCATAGTGGCACCACGGTGTGCTGGTACTCACTTCCCAGGCACCCCAGTACCATAACCAAGCCTTTTATGTTGAGCTATTAACCAGTACAATGAATGAAACTACCACCATATTGTGAACTTTTTGTCAGTGCCATATTGTCCATACATGTTTAGAAAATTAACGTTAAGGTTGGATGCATACATGTGCAAAGTTTACCAGCTTAACTGTACATGTACATGTATGTTGTTTTTCAACTGAGTGGGTGGCCAATGAAGCATGTGAAATGTAATATTTTAAAGATAATCGTGTGATGATACATGTACATTTATAAAATCATACATGCATAATTAGGCTTTGAATCCAGGAAAAACCAGCCCAGATGTTGTGCATTAAAGAAACAAATGCTTTCTGCCATATGACTTGTTTAATCATGTATTTGTTTGTATGTTTGGAATAGTTTTGAATCATCAGTAGATTGACAAACAGAGCTGCCTGAGACTTGCTGAAATCCTGACTTTTGCTTGAAAAAGAAGAGATTGTACATGTATTTACAAATGTATAAACGATTTTTGTGAATTTGCTTCATAACCAGCATGTTGTCTGTTCTCCCTATGTATTCAATGTAGTTTTATAATGCCCATCAAGTCATTTGCCTAATGTTATTCAGGGGCTATGTATAAAGATTTGCAATGAATCTTTGTTCACACTGGAGTTTTTTGAACCAACAACTATTGTGGCATCTGCAGAGGGAATAATCTTGCTTTCATGAACTGACACTCAAGCATATTGTGGATATGTATATATTAGTAAGAGGAAATATATGAAATTATTGGCTGGATTATCTCCATCAGTGATTTATTCCCTATGTATTCCACAGGTATATGGAATTCATGTATGGTGACATTAATTAAAAACTTTCCAACACTGGACCTTACATGTATGTCAAAATAAAGTTTGTGAAAATAACCATATTCTGTGACCATACACGTGTGCTACATTCATGTGTGTCAGTTGGGCCTGGGCCAATTACTCAATATCAGATGTTGGATTAATTGTTGAATATTTATTTTGCAATCAAATAGTCAAGGGGAGAATAGAAAAAATCAGTTGCTTGGTTACTGATATTACATCCTGAAAGCATATTTCAAGGTGTTAAAGTGTATGAAACTTAAAGGCAGCTGAATGCATATGCCCAACTAGGAGGCCAAAAAATACCTTTGCTTCCGTATTATCCTTTACTTTTTGTGAACAAGTATGATGTACATGTAATTTGACTCTGCTTTTGTTAGAATGTAGTACGATTGAATACCGGCATTCAGTCAAATGGAAGGTAATATTTGACATCAAATTCTTTGAAGTGACTCAGACTTTTTGTCAACTTGTGAGATACTGGCCTGCTGCACATTAAAGATATGCATGCAAATGTGCCATCTTTGAATTTACAGTAAATGTAATAACACTAAACATCAGTTCATTGTGGAAGTAATGGTCTGTTTTAACTTTCTCTCCCAAGATTACAAAATTCGCAACTGGCTTTTTGGAACAAATAGCTACCACAGCCAGCAAACAAACATCCAACATGTGTTTAGACGGTGCAGTTTAAAGCAATGAACATAACGGTGGTGCGTCATTTCATGGATGATCAATATCAAAATTATTAATGGAACTTCCATAATGCACATGTATTCAGTGTCCTTACAGAGCAGTTAATGATAATGATAGTAATAATATCAAACCATTTATACAGGTAAGGCGCACAGTATCTAACAGCATCTTTAATTCAAAGGCGTCATTTTATTGTCATCAATTAAGTTACATACAGTGTATACGCATCAGTTCTACTGCTGTTTATTGTTTTTGATACCAACCATTGCCCTTTTCAATGCTGTTTCATTCCTATCCAGGTGCTACATCAAGGGATGGCTTCACCGCAGTTAAATTCACCGCCCTAGGCAGACCACAGATGCTTGTAAGTTGTCTCTAATTAATATTTACCTGATCACCCTTGCCCCGACAACCAATTAATGCACTTACATCAAGAACCGTAATGAAATTGGGAAAGTGGTCATGCCTTGGTGGTTTTCATGAAATCATTGACACCTGTTTTTTGTGCCATGTTTGTCTTGGTGTCCAGCACTCTTTTTGCCATATTTCAAGAGGGTTTCAGGGATTGCAGTAAGTTTGCTAATAGATATTTAACCATGTTCGTGAGTAAAATCAGTGAAGTCGTCTTTGGCTGAAGCTTGAGGTATTTGTGTGCAATGTCAGTATGTGAATATGCACTTAGAGCACGTTCAGTCATTTCTCTTGAGTTTACCGCCACTCTCGCCACTTGTACAGATGGGCATGCACAATCTGTGGTTTTCTTGAGCTTCTTGAGGTCAGCCACAACTGATCAGAACCCGAGGTCACACAGCGATTATAAGTGCGAAACGAAAATGAAGTTGGAAACACAATGGGCATCCAAACGAACAATTCAGATCATTTTTAAGGACTCCAGGACTTGCATGAACTCCAGACGATTGGCCTCTTCATTTTTCTGAACCCTTCCCAGTTGTATCGAATTTGCCTTGCGTTGTTTTTTTGCATTGTATTTTGGGGTACATGTACCGGTCCCCCCCCCCCAAGTTACTGACTCGATGAGTCTTGCATGTTCATGTCCTGTGAAAAGTCACATGAGTGTGACATTAAACGCAGATGTGCATGCACAAGTGATTGTAGGGAAAGTGATCTGAACACGTTGCTTGCTGTTGTATTGAGCTACTGCCACAGCACATTACAGGGTCACAGTCTGTGGAGAGAATCCCCAAACTGTTCACCGAGTGCCTGAATCATTTATAGCAGTAATGCATTGGGGCTTTTGTTGACAGGAAGTACATACAGCATGTGCCATGTGCTTTGCCTATGCTTTATTGAGCCAATTATTAAGGAAAAATGTTGCCCATTAGACAGTTAATAGTCATGGGTTTATGCTCAACCTGTTTTAATGTGGAATTTATGGGCCTGTATATATAGTTCACATTTATCTGGATCTGTATCAGCTACATGTATCCGGATGCTGGCTCACTCCATCCATTAGGCAGGTTCAAAGCGTCCTTGACTAATGACAGATTACTGATCAAGATCTAGAACTGTGTGAAATTTTATGACCCGATTGTATCAGTAGTATACATTCAAGTCCTAACTTCTCAGGGTATAACATTTGCTGATCCACATGTAGGTGGAGCCAAAAGGGGGTCATCCCTCCCCCAATCATTGCCGTTTACCTGACTGGGCATCTATTCAGACATGGTGAAACTTTTTGTGAGTTCATTTCCTTGGGCACATGTAGAAGTACCGTGCAGTCAGAGTTTCATGCGGATTTTATTACTTGAGACAGTCCAAGTTCCAAAGATGTTGGCAAGCAAGTTTTCTGCCAGACTCGTGCGTATTTATTTGCTGATCAAGTGATTTATTTAACGGAACTCGAACCTATTATGTGTTCAGAATCCCTTTAACACTCACCTTTCTATGTAACCAGCTCAATTTGTCTGAGGTCCTCATCCGCACCCGACAAGTGTTCGTCCAGATAGCGGGAACCAACAACGCCCTTATTGATTTGCAGCTGACCAAGGAGCAGTTCCAGTCAGAGCTTGAGGCCTTGGGGATCACATCGCGCGACGACACGGGAGAGTGGTTCACCTGGATGGACTACGATCAGGATGGGTCAGTATTTTTCACCTTTGGGGACACATCTTTGGAGGGATTTTCCCTGGAGAAAGTCCCTTAGATTATTTGAAATTTCCACAGACCTGTAACATAATTGCATCACGCTTTGTTTACATTTGCACTTTTCTTTGACGTTGAGGTACCGATAGGACATAATTTATCAAGCCCTTATTAGAAAGATGTACATTTAAACACAGTGTTCCGTTAGTGTGCTTTTGGTATATTCTCCACATGCCTGTAGAGGCAGATTTTAAACTACTTCTTTGGCTTGGCCCAGGAAGTAAGTGCCGCATTAAGTTGTCCTGTCATTGTAGAGAATATTTCTAATTCAAAGTTCTTTGTCTGTCTGGTTTCAGTCGTATTGATCTCCTCGACTGGGACAGGCTGATGGAGCCTGAGATCAAGCTGACGAAAATTTTCAAAGTCCCCCAAATACAGGTAGGTAGAAATAATAAGTCAAGCGGGGAAGTAGGCTCTGTATGGAGACATGGTGCCAGGCAGTCACTCCTTACAAAACCCAAGTCAGTGCATTCTACCATTGCTGGGGGCCATCAAGAATGTCTAGTAAAGTGTTGCTGGATTTGCCTACTTTACTTGTCAAGGGTTAGCATAGCGGTTTCAAGGAAGTGAGTTAGCGTAGCAGTTCTTTCGTCACTTTGCACCAATGATGCCCGGGTTTGAGTCCCAGCTTGGCCCAGGCTTTAAGTGCATTTGGTTTCAAGTCCATACTCT